GCTATATAAATATGATAGATAGATAGATAGATAGATAGATAGATAGATAGATAGATAGATAGATAGATAGATAGATAAAATGTTAACTTTTGCCCCTGAAAGAGATACTAAGAACAAGTGCATGTATAGACTAAAGTACCAGGCAATGATTATAGAGATTCAAGTTCACATTAAGGTAGAGAAGCTAATTTGGTAACTTTGGGTCAGTCATTATTTTTCAAACCATTCTACTTCACACCATTGTTGGTATGGACATAACACTGGAAAAAGAAATGCTGATGATACTTGATTAAATCTTTCAACCTCAGGTCAGCCAAGTGAGGCTATCAAGGTTCTGTCCCAGTGCCTGGAGGCTGTGTGAGTTTGTATGGGGAGTGGCTGTGGGTATTTGAGCCACCCAGTTCTGGGGATATTTCATCTCTGACCTTGGATGGGGTTGTAGTTCCCCTTTCAACATTGGTATGCAATCTGGGGGTCTTCCTGGACTAGCAACTCCTGTTTAAAGAGCAGAAGTCAGCTGTGGCCAGGAAGGCTTTTGTACAACTCAATCTGGTGCACCAGTTGTGCCCTTTCCTAAATCTGGGGGCCCTTCAGACACTCAAGCCCTGGTCACTTCATGGCTTGACTACTGCAATGTACTCTATATGGGGCAGCCCTTGAAGCCCACCTAGAAGCTTCAGCTGGTCAAGAATGTGGCAGTGTGAGCAGTGATGGTTATGCCTTGGTATGCCCATGTAACACCTCTGCTTCACGAGCTGCACCGGTTGCCAGTTTGCCTTCAGATGTGATTCAAGGTGTTGATCATTACCTATAAAGCCCTACATGGCATAGGAACTAGTTACTTGAGGGACCGCCTGTCTCCTGTAGCATCTGCCCAGTTGATTTGATCTTGCAGGGTTGGTGTGTTCTGAGGTCCTTTGATTCAACAATGCCATCTATCGGGATCCTGAAAGCGCATCTTCTCTGTAGCTGCACCTGTCTTCTGGAATGAGGTTCCCTCCAAGACAGGGATGGCACCAACTCTGCTGCTGTTTAGAAGAACCATGAAGACCTGGCTCTTCACTCAGGCAAGGGAGAGTGGACCCCTTGCTTCATTCCATCTGGTCTGTTCTTGCAATCTTTTATCTTTTATTGGTGTTATAATAATTTCTTTGAGTGTTGTGAGCTGCCCAGAATCATTGGGAGTTGGGTGGCATACAAGTATAATATATTACTTATTAAATTAAAGGAATACTATAGATGCCACCTTGAAAGGTAGAACTGAATTCCAGTAGTACAGAAGTGTAAAATGCATTTTTAAAAATGAAATCAGATACCGGTGGAATTAAACCATGGAAACCTTTTGAAGTCTATAATTGTCACGTCAAGCTAATATATTATATAAGCCTTATAAAAGAGTCATGTTCTCCTCTCCTCACCTCTTTTCCCCCAACTCACACATATATTGCATATTCAACTTGCATAAAGAATAAATTAATAACAATACTCCATTTTGGTAAAAGCTATTAACATGCAGACACAGTATTGATGGAATCACTATCCCTTGATTGTTGAGATAGCTTTCCTATTACTGACCATTGTTTTACATTTTTTGCTATTCTTGGTCAGTGAGACAACCTAAATTGTCAAATACTATCTGATAACTACTAATAAGTAACCTGGAATTTTTCAAATTAAAATAATGTTTCAAATGGGACCAAACTACATTTTTAGTTATGTAAAATTTTCATTTTATTATGTACACACCTACCCCCCTCAACATACAAATCACAATCAGTGAAACAGCAAAAGGCACTTTCAGAAGACATGGGTCTCCTAGTTACAAAAAGTAGCAGAGTCATCATTTTAAATACCATAAGAAATATGTCCATACTGTCCTGGTCCTATTTGTTTACACACCTTATACTGTAAGCATAAGATGTGCAAACAAACCTTATAGATATGTTTTAATTTTCCAGCACAGAGGAATTCTCTGCATACCGTTATATTTAAATATTTCCCCTTCTATACTGCAGTATATGTGACCATTATGAACTTATTTGGTTGTGATTTAAGTTGACTACACAAGACATTATTTTCTCCTTACCTCTGAAGCAGTAGCCACAATATTAACATTACTGGTCTGTCCGTTCATTAGGTCCATACTGTTCGCACCATTGGTATTATGCCCCACATTTGCAGAAGTGGCTTTATTCAGTCACATTCACCCAAGTTATCATTCCTTAAAAAAGAAAAGTAACGTTAGGGATGCATAAGACACGGAAGTCTTAAAGCCTCATAATATAGCTCAACATACTTTTGCTAACTATAAAATTACCAAAGAATCTAATCTAAGGCAAAATACAGTAGACTTAAAATTTTACATTATGCAAAAATTACTGTGATATCAACTATAATTCAATTAGGTCTTTGGGAACTTTAATATCACAACAAGCAACAGCAAATTCAAACTAACAGTACATTATTTTGATGACCATCTGAATCCAGTATACAAGAAAAATGTTAGGTATCTAGTTGGTGCTATTAGTACAAATGCTAATTTATTTGATTCTTCTATATTTGATTTTTATGCTATTTGAGAGATTTATATGCTTATTGTATTGATGTTTCTGAGTATTTATTTTTAAAAAGTTACTCTTTTGGGGCTAGAAGCCCTCTACAATTAGAATTGCCGAAGCACTTGAAATAAATAAAAACCTGAATTCCATTTGCAAAATTATAAACTTTTAAGACTAAAAGAACTTTGTGTCCAATGGTTTGGTAGAACTTCTTTAACTGGGACCTTAAATACTGTAATATATTTTTCCCTCCAAATAAGAGAATTCCTATTCAAGATTCCAGACTGGAAAGCCTTCTTCTGAAATTCTGTAAGCTGGTGGCATGTTTGGAATTTCGACAGAACATCATGGGTCCTCTCAGAAATAATTTCGGGGCTGGGTCAAGGGTAACTATTTACAAAATAACTGTCACATGGGCATGGCCAACCACAAAATTATTTGTCAGAAGGCCAAACTTGTGAAATTGTTCACAGCCATCCTTTCTAATCCTCTGGGATATTCTTTATAACCTCTCATAAATACCAGTGAGTTTGTTTCAAGCGGAATCTCCAAGCAAAGCACTAGACTATACTCATGCAACATATTCATCAAGAATGTCTTGAGGGTGCATGTAGCAGTTACAGACATTCTTGAGAACAAGAGCAGTTTAAATACTTAAAAAAATAAAATGAGCAAAAGCTCACATGCTAAGGCTAAATTATACCATGCAAGACTATGAAGTCTTCTGCTTTAAAATGCACCCATCCCTTAAATAAATATTTTTAACATTTATTTCTAATATTTCTGATTTAGGTAGCTATGTTTTGTTTTTTGCTGAAAAAAGTAACAAACAATAGAGGGTCTTATGGAACCTTAAAGAGTTGGGTAGCATACAAGTTTAATAAATAATACTGATAACAATTAGAAACAAATTTATGAGCACATAAACATATGGATTGTAATCCACTTCATTAGATGTAGGGAGTGAAATCCTGAGAGGAACTTTTTTATGTACTCACAGTTGTATGTGGCATGGGAAGAGAGAAAAAAGGAAAAGTACAATAGTTGGAAGAGACAGAATTGTTTTAGAGATCACAGGCAGACTGTAACATTACATGGAGTATTAATCATGTATAATATTAAGGATGACTGTAAAAAGACATTTTTACTTCTAGGGTGTATGTCTGTGTCTTTGCCAGAACTATGTTACAGAAACTACAGAGAGTCCTAAATTATCTCAAAGACTAGTAAATCTATTACCACAGAAGGTTTGTTATCCAGAGAAAGGAATGTATTTAAACAATTGTTCTTGTTTACAAAATTAGTTTTAAAGTGATTAACAATAAACAGTTGTTAGATGTGACACAGATATTTTTACACTGGATGAGTACTTAACGGCATAATGAAATAATCCCTTGTCCACATTTAATCCATGAGAATGGTGTTAAATCTTATAAGAATTTTCAGCTTTTGTTCTTTGTGTTGTTTGCTGTAATTCCAATATTGCACACCAAAAGTGAGAGACAATATGCCATGAGAAATTAAAATGCCCCCCCACTGGTTTTTGAGTATTACCACTTTTGATTTTAGATTCATGTCCATTGAATGTCCATTTCAAAATGTGTTATGATACTGATAGATGCCACATATAGAATCATACTGGAGTACAAGCAAATGTGTAGTCCTCTAATGATGTAGGTAACATTATGAGGACATACAATTTTCCAGAAGAAATATGGGGACACAGATTATTAACAGAGATATAGCACATTTTAAAAATGGCACCAGTGGCAACAGAAGGAAAAAAATGGGAAAAATCATGCAAGTAAACAAGTACTCTGAGTAACTGTTTGCAAGGTTGCATTTAGCAACTCTATTTGCAGTGCAGAGTTTTAAAAATAACAAATCATGCAAGTTGAGGCATAACTATTACAGAGGAATCAAAAATACCAAGTATCTTCAAGAGAATGAACAATATTAAGACAGTACTATACTACTTTTGGACTATATTATTGATATCAGCACTATGAGACACTTTGGATTGTTAAAGTGACATAATCTTTACCAATTGGTACCCTAAGTACCAATCATTAGCAATGCATACACAAAATATTCAAATAAAATACTCAAATATATTCAATGTATACTTTACCTTTTTATTCAATCCTAATATCCAAAGCAGTTGAATATTATTTATTCAACTTTATTTTTATTTTTAATGTATTTCTGTTTCCAATTCTGGTCAGTGACTATAATAAAAATTCTATTCAAAGCAGTTGATTTTTAAAAATTTTCATAAATTTTTCACTGGCAACTAAAGTGTACATATAACACGTACTGGAATTTAAAACAATTCAACTTTATGTATCAAAACTTTGTTTTGACAAAATAAATCCCTCAGGCTTCTCTCGCTTTATGCTAGGTTTATATTCCTGCAAAACCACGCATAAAGCAAAGGTGCATAAAGCAAGACACTGAACCAGTGGAAAAAAAGTGCCTGGAAAATATGGTGTTAAATTTTGTAACCCAAATGCATTGACTGATATGCTCATAAATTTTTAGAGCCTTATTCTTTAGCACTATGTTACTCAAACATGTTTTCTTCCTTGCCTTGTCTTAAGTATTTTCTCCATCTTTTCTACAGCAGGATTCCTATTGCAGGTGGTTATCATGGAAGACAAATAGGTAGAATGCATCACCGTACTACAAATTTTATGAAAGTATTCTTCATTATATCGCACACAGTTTTTCCCAGATTAAAAGGTCATCCTAGTGCTGAGGATCCTTCACAGTTTTGGAGCAATGTAGTATGTTCAACTGTTTCTAGCGTTAGACAGATCTTACTCCCTTCCATTTTGGATAAGGGGGCTGGATAAGATGTTGATGGCTATTTTGACCCCATAGTAACAGTAGCAGCTATTGCTGGTACGGAAGTAAATAGAAGACAGGACGTACTACTAAAATGATTGTACAATATGATGGTAAATACGGTGGTTCTTAAAAGTTTGTGAACCGTTTTGAATTTTCAATATTTCTGCATAAATATGACCTAAAACATGATCTGTTCTCCACAC